TCAAGTATATGTATGATTATCTTTGTACCCGCATATCTCTTAATGTCTTAATATGAGATTGTTTGGTGAGCTAGTGGTTGCTCACCCCCTGCTTATATATGTGTACAGGAAATGCTTTCGGATTTGAAGATCAAACAATGGGTTTTACCATTTCATAAGTGTAATGTAGTAATAGATTGTACTACTTCATTTGTTTGTTTGGCTGAGTGTTATTTTTGTAAAGAGTAGTATCCTCTCTTTTATTATAAGCCTCAAGGCATTTCTTTGATTTGTATGTAAATGTCATTGTTGTGCAATGAGAGGGAACATGTATATTTAATTATTCATCATTTCATCTAAGGATGAATTGACATTTGTAAATGGACTTCATTAATGAATATTGATAATGTTATCTGAATAATAAAATACGGGGTGTTATAGGCAAATTAATCAATTTTCTAAAATTATTAATTTTTTAATTTATAAAATATATTAAAAAAACTATTGATTGATTGATTTATTTAATAACAAAAATATTTCACAGTCTCTCCATCCTAATCTCTCTCACCGATTTTAAAAAATATGTATATTAAAATTTGCCTTCATTCACTCTTCCCCAAAAAATCAGATAATATTTTTCATGAAAGTTGTCGATATATCTATCTATATCTTATATATTATATTATAACATAACCAAAAAAAAAAACTAAAAATCAGATACACAAACAGATAAAATTAATAAATTTGATTTTTATTTATTTAGTTAAAATCTTTCTTTTGCATCTCAATATCCATTTTTAAATTTTAAAAATCTTTAAAGTTTATCTAAATAAATCTAATTTAAAAATGTCTCCCACCATTATATTTTAAGTCAATAAACTCACATGTCTATCACATATCTAACTCATATCATAACTTACCTAAATAATAATAATTAAAAACAAATAGAAACAACAGATAAAGAGGTTAACATGTAATACTTATGTAATGGAACTCTAATGAATGAAAGAATGTGGTTAGTTTATATGTAAATGTATGTCTTATTAGATGGGTTTATTGTTGTTATTTTGAGGGCGTTACAAACTCCATCTTAAATAAATTGAAAAAAAAAACTAAAAACCCGAATAGAAACCACACAAAAATTTTAAAAAAAAGTTAAAGATTTAGATATGGATCTAAAAAAAATGACAATATCTAAATTTGAATTATGATTCACTAATATAATTATCCATTTTTCTGATGTATATATATCAAAATTTTAAATCAGTTAATGAGACAAATTAATCAATTTTCAAGTCTTATTTAAAGAATAATCTGATTAGTCATCACTACAAGAAAATACACCTTTGGCGACTAAATTTTTAGTCGCCAAAAGTCCCTTTTTAGTAGCCAAATGTCAAATTTCCACTTTTCCCGACAAAATCTTTTAGTCACCGGGTTTGTCGCGAACAGACAGTCGGCAATACCTTTGGCGACTAAAGCTAACGGATTGGGTTAAGTGCAGTTTAAGTTGTTGGAAGTAACATTCTCTCACTCTATAAATTTATTTATTTTTTTAATTTTATTTTTTCCCTGTGTGATTCTCTTTCTCCACTGTTAGTTTGGTTTTGGTTTCAGTTATAATGAGGTTTGTGTGTTTGTTTACAGGCTTGCATGATAGATAAGAATTATTGCTGATTATGGTTGCAATCGAAGTATCTATTTACATTTCATGCCAAGAATTTTGATCGAATTTTGTTTTCTTCAGTGAAGATCATAAAATTGAAGTAAAAAAATAGGTATCAAATTTTTTATATTTTATTGTCATTTTATTTTATACGACTATTTTTTTCGTCGGCAATGCTCAATCTTTTGGCGACCACAGTGTTTAGTCGCCAAAAGCATTTTAAAAAAAAAAAAATTTCCCTTTGTGCCTCAGACAAGCTTCGAACCTGAGACCTCCAAGTTTCCAAACCTTACCCACACGCTCCAACCCACTATGCCACTAAACCATCTCATGATTATAGTTGCAACTAATATTATTTATATATTACTTTCACTAGTATTAATACAAAACTATATATATAAATGTATTTATATATATTCAATATAATTTATGTAAAAAATAAATTATTTATTAAAAAAAATTTAGATCACTTTTGGCGACTAAAAAAATTATTTAGTCGCCAATTCTATTATTTTTGGGCTACTAATTAATTTTCCGTCGCTAAAGAAAGCTATTCCGCCTAAAAACCTACCCTTTTGGCGACTAAACCTGTTTTTAGTCGCCAAAAACCTCCCCCTTTGGCTACTAAAGTGAATTTTAGTCGCCATAAACCTGTTTTTAGCTACTAATTTTTTTTTAGTAGCTAAAAAGCTTGACCTTCAGCGACCAAACTGTTTTTAGTCGCCAAAACAGGTACAATCAGCGACCAAAGTGGTTTTTAGTCGCCAAAACCTTAATTTTTGGCTACCAAATGGTTTTAGTCGCCAAAAACCCTAACCTTTGGCTACTAAAAATTTTTTAGTCGCTAAAAACCCCCCCTTTGGGGACTAAACTGCCTTTTAGTCGCTAAAACCATTGCATTCGGCGACTAAACTCTTTTAGTCGGCAAAAGTGACCAATTTTGGCGACTAATTCCATTTTAGTCGCCAATTCTACGACTTTCAGCGACGAAAATTCCCATTTTAGTCGCCAATAGTGTTTTTTGTTGTAGTGCATCCCAACTCCTAAACTTTGCAGGCACTGACAGAGGAGCTAACGGATTGGGTTAAGTGCAGTTTAAGTTGTTGGAAGTAACATTCTCTCACTCTATAAATTTATTTATTTTTTTAATTTTATTTTTTCCCTGTGTGATTCTCTTTCTCCACTGTTAGTTTGGTTTTGGTTTAAGTTATAATGAGGTTTGTGTGTTTGTTTACAGGCTTGAATGATAGATAAGAATTATTGCTGATTATGGTTGCAATCGAAGTATCTATTTACATTTCATGCCAAGAATTTTGATCGAATTTTGTTTTTTTCAGTGAAGATCATAAAATTGAAGTAAAAAATGGGTATCAAATTTTTTATATTTTATTGTCATTTTATTTTATAAAAAATGTGAAAATTTACTGAGAATTCAAGATTTTACTATAACATTCGATTTTTGTATAATTAGGTAAATTTAAAACTTTTAAATTTCATTGTGATTTTTATTTTTATCCTCTTTTTATCCCATTAGACCATAACTGCTATTTGTTAGTTTATTAATTATAATTTAATTAATTGAAAATGAAAGCTTAATAAAACTTTTCATATATATTATAGTTAATTCATTACAACTGTAGTTGTATACAATAGCATAATATATAGGGATAATCTCTAAGTATACTTTTTATTTTTTTATGTGCTTAAAATATTCCATCTTAATAGTATATAGAAAAGTTAGATGGTTTCTTTTATCTCTAAGAAACCCAATCTATTTTTTTTTACTTTTTAATTTTTTAAATTGAAACAATAATTGTTTATATCCACAAAACAAAACTGATAAACACATATAAAAAAAGTTACACAATTTTTTTTTTCATTTTTAAAATGTAGGATATTTACAAATGGAAAATGTTTGACACTTCAATTTTTTTTCCATAATCCAACTTATAATGATGTAGTCATAAGTGTCAATTCTTAAACAAATATGAGAAGAAAATTAATTAAATTATACATTTCAACCAACCGCATGCTCAAACTTTGATTATTTCAAGATGTTATTTCACTATAATTTCAATTAAGAGAATCTTCAACCCTTAATATATTTTTTGTAATCAAATTATAATTTGATAAAATTTAAAAAGATGAAACGTTGAAAATTATTATTTTTTCCCATCAAAATTGGTGAAAAGAAAAAAAAAATTGGGATAAGAAAGAAAGTTCTTTTAAAAATTGATAAAAATTTTAATGAAAAAGTTAAAATAATTCATATCAAATCAAAATTTTATTTAAATTTAAAATCAAATTAGATAAAAAAAATTAAAAGAAAATGATGAAAGTTTTAAAATATTTTGAAACCTTCTTATTCATAAAGACTAGAAATCCGTGTGTGTATTATATTTATCTTGTATTTTTAGTTGTGAAATTGAAATCAAAAGAAATGTAACTTAAATTATTAGATTAATAATAGAAATATCATTTAATTATTGTTAAATATCCCTTCACTTCATATTTAGGGTTAGTTTGGCATAAACTAAATAATACAAAAAGTTAAAAAGTCACTATCCTATTTAAGTCACATCATCTTATTTAAATCACATCACCTCTCTAACACATCACGTCAAACTCAACCCAAACCTAACCCATATAAGCCAATAAGTCAAAAAGTGCACTTTTTTAGAACATCCTAAACCAACCCTTAATATTAAAATTATATATTTGCTTTAATTATTACTTTTAAATTTGTATATCTTCATAACAAGAAGAGGTATGTCATAACTCAGTTAATCTTATTTAATCAGGTTTAACCTTTTTTTTTTATACAAATTATCAAAATTGTCCTATATATATATTAATTTTTTTAAACTAATAATTAAAAAAGTTATAGACATAAAAGTTAACTTATAAATTTCATGTATACCATAAAATAAAATATTAAATTACTTTAAGATAATTATAATAATTGTTTTTAATTTATAAAGTTTGGTGCATAACACGGATTACCACAAATAATCACATGATGCAAAACACCAACTAATAATTTTTCCAACAATGGCCAAGTCCATCTAGTCAAATGCCTTAAATTCTCTCTCTTTCACTCACACACACTTTTTTTCTCTCTCTAAAAACACCCATAAGTGCATTTATTCATTGGCATTCGATATCACTGTACGATGCCCTCTCTAGAGAGAGAAAAATCACACAGTGCAGAATTGTTTGGACTTAGTAAATTTATTTTAGAATTAATTTTAATAATTTAAATTGTTTATTTTTTAAATTTATTAAATAAAATATTCATATAAAAAATCAAAATAATTAAATATTAGTAATTATATAATTGAATCATATTTATTTTATGTTTATTCACCGCCATTCCTCATCGTCGGAGGAGGTACCACCATCGTCTCTGACTTCTTCACTAATTATAATAGTCATCATCATCGCCTCCTCTATCATCGTGACTACCTTTCTCTACCTCCTCTTCCGTTTCATCACTCGCCACTACAACAACCGCTCATTCACCGCCGTAGCTGACGTTGTCTCCTCAAAAAACAACTGCGACGATTTAAATCGCGATCGGTGTTTATACGAGCAGCGAAACTCCTCCAATGATTTGATCAACAGTCTTCCTCTCTTCACTTTTGGTTCCATCATCGAAAACATCGTTAGCGGCAACTACGCTGTATGTTTATCAAAGTTCGAGAGGAACGATCAGCTATTGTTACTTCCTTTGTGTTGTCATGCTTTCCATACTGATTCCATTGACGCGTGGCTTTCGTCCAATCAAACGTGTCCGTTGTGAAGGCCCACTGTGTATCCTACTAAGGAAGATGTACTGAATAAAATCATTTCGTCCACGGTTCCAGAAGATGGCAGGAACAGTTTCTGGATTGAGATCGGAAGCGTGAGTCGACGACGAGGTAGGTCCGATTCCAGTAATGGTCGAAGATCGTACTCAATCGGCTCGTTCGACTATATTATTGACAAAGGCTACGAAGTCTCTGTAATTCCACACATCGGCGAGGACTCTCTTATTGTACTTCCGTTAGTAAGGACACGATCGGAGTACCGATGGTGGTGAATGCGCCGCCGGGAGAGAATATAGCTTATGAAGTCGCTGGACGAAGCTGGCTGAGAGACTACGTGGATCGACTTGCGTTGATTTCGTCTGGCACGATATCATTTAGCAGCTCTGGTAGGTTTTTCATTGGTAGTAGTTGCCGGAGCAACACGGTTGTCGCTGTCGACGAGGAATTGGAGGCTAATCGTATTGGAGAAGAGATAAGTGAGTTGTTTCGGTGGTTGTCACGCCCCACTTTTTATATCAACGAATACCATTACTAAATCCTTTATTATAATACAATTTCAAAGATGATGTGCAGAAATTCGATACAATAAAGATACTATTATTAAAGGTTCTCTCATTCGAATATGAAATGAATGCAACATGAGATAAAAATAAATAAATTGCCTGTAGGCTTACATTTTTTAAATTAAAAGAAAGGGTTTAACCCTTTTATATCAATGGCATTCCGCCTACAAATAAAAGTCCCCATGGCGAACACATAAAGAAGATCCTAGATCATGAAATCCTTCTCGACGTTCACCTAAAAAAGGATTAGCAACGTGGGATGAATAGAAAGTCCAGTAGGGATCCCAATATGATCGTAAACAATAACAACATACAGATAGCTATGATCATGAATGCTTTAAGTCATATCATATACATATAGTGACAGTTTATACAGAAATATACTTATATACGAACTTTTCTCAAAATCATTCATTTCGTTTAACAACATAAGCATTTTACTTTTCTTTCTTCATGTTTACCTTTTTCAAAATTCATATGACAATAACAAGTTCTTAAAAACAATGTCATAAAGCTCGTTATGTTTTCTCACACTTTCAGGACGTACACCTAATTTGCCTTTTTGAAACATGTTCACAAGTATCCGATGTCCTTCACATTATTCAGAATCTCAATACAGTACTTACGTCCGTTTCTAACACATTCATGTCTTTACATATATATATATATATATATATTCAATACAAAGGGAAAACAAGATGAAACCAACAACTATCTACTCGACAAATGAGGCAACTCGGCCTCCCACCATCATAACCCATAATATACACAGATATACTGAGACAATAATGATAAACAAGTCCCGCTCTACCTGCATTAAGCACGATAAACCAAGGATACACCTTTAGTCATTTTAGTCTTACTTCATTTCATGACAATTCATTTCAAGTTAATTTATTTCATCTCAATTCATGAGCCAATTCATTACATTTTAGACACCCAACTGAGGCTACAACTTAATGGTTCTCAATCAACACAAATAGTACACAAATAGTTCAAACTTCCATTTCACGGATATTTCATCCGCAGGCAGCTGTCAAACGAGGCCCATGTAAACGTAGGCTATACAAGCACTACAATTGCCATTTTACGAATATTTCTTCCGCGGGCTAGGCTCCCATGTATAATTTCGGGACTTTCACCTAGGACACGCCGACCAACTTAATTGTAATGGAGTCTATCTTCTTTCTCCTTCCAAACAATCATTCACACATATGCAATGTATTTAAACACAAACTCAAACAATGGAGTACATCCTCTTTCTACTCCAAAATAACCACACATATACAATGTATATAAATATAGTCATATTCAATGACAACCAACAAAAGATTGATTTCAATTCACCAAGTCCACATGCAATTTGTACAACAATCAAAGCTATCCTCCACCGATAGCCCAATACAGTTATTTCTAAATAGATATACAATCTCCACAATAGATAAACTATCCATATTTTCATAGATGAGAGATGACAGTTATCCAACTCCACCATTTACATTCATATCTATCAATTTCTACATTTAATACGGAAGGAAAACAAAAATCCAATTCTCACAAGACGTTTAGTCCAACAACAATGATAATATGTAAAAGTTCCAAAATCCGACCCCAAGTTCATTATCAATTTACAAAGCGTGATATTTTCATTTTTTTTTTCAAAAAGGCCACTTTTCTTTATTTTACAATCATACGTCCCAACTATTTTTCTAAAAATTCATTCTCGTCATTTTACAAAACCAAAACCAAATCCATCCTCTTTATTTTACAAAACCAATTCCATTGGTATCAAAACCATAACTCAACTAAACTTCATAGGATTAGTCTAAAACAATACCAACACCGTGGTCACTCCCCTTTTTATTTCCTTTTGATATAAACACGATTATACAACCCATATTAGCAAAATATAAAGATTATTCAACTCCCTCCCTTTTAAATCCATTATAACAATAATATTAAATTAGGGCTTTCCTTCCTCTCTTCACAAACATAATAAATCACTTCCCAAATAACCCAATAACAAACAACTCAACAACTCCAATCACAAATATCAACCCTAGATTCCCTTTCATGGCTTTCAAGAAAATCCATAATGAATATGGTTTTTATGCAATAAAATCTACAACATATCTATCTATAGATGAGGTATTGGAGAGAAGTAAGGAAATCCCTACCTCTTGAAGTGAAGAGATGACGACCCAAAATTCACCGGCGACGAAACCACGAACTATTCGGACCAAAAGGAAGACCTAGACGAGATCTACAATCTTTCTCAAAGGACCATGGTGAAAAGATTACTCTAGGTGAGTAGATCTAGAGATCTAGGTGCGAAAAGTCAGGTTTTAGAGAGAGAAGAAAGAAATCATGGTTTGAGATGACAAGAGGAGAAAAAGTAATGAGAGGAAAGTGGTTTGGGTCTATTTATAGTAGTAGCAAATAGCCTTAAGGTCAAATAAAAAAATAGGCCTCAAAACGCCCAAAGGTAGGGCCCTTTCGAACCCCAAAATTTTGAAAAAAACACGCAGGGGTCGACCCTTTAGGTAGAAAAGACAATCTGGCACAAGCAAGTGGGTCAACCCTAATTTCCAGCAACACTTCCAGAAACTTCACCAACAGGTAAGGGTCGACCCTTAGGAAGGCCGGTGTCGACCCTAGAATAGAATTTCTAAGTCTCCATGGAACTTTAGACACAAACAAGTGTGAACAACAAAACCCAACAAGTTTAAATCGGATTATACTCCTTCAAACCAACATACAACAACACCAAAGATTTCCAAAATAAAAATAAAGGATTCGAATACACTTTCCAAATGTTTTAAAAAGGGTACAAGTGCTACAGTGGTTCTCAAGGGTATGATTGGTAAATTTAATTTGTTTTTTACGCAATTCCGATTTTCAAAAATTAATTCCAATTTTTTGCTTCAGATATACAGACTCGATTATGTAGCAAAAAATTGGAATGATTCAATTTTCATATATTTCTGTTAAACTATTATACATATATTAGGGTTCTATAAATGGATATGGAGGTGACTAAATTCTTTTAGGCATGTAAATCACTGTTAATGATTTTGTTGCATTTTGTATGAGTAAAAAAGTATTTTCAAGTGAATGATATTCTTTATAAATATTAATATGCAAAATCATAATATTTTTCTTGATTTTGTAATTAAGTTTTGAAGACAACACTAACAGATATTTTTCCCTTAAAACAAGGTACTAAATTATGTAAGCATTAAATTTTAAAGATCTTTTTTAATCATAAAAGGAATGAATGCACATAAATAATTTTTTCCTCTTTTATTTTTCTTCTTAAATTTAAAATTTAAAATTTTAATCAGTGTGTTTGATGTTAATTTTTTGAATTCAATTTTTTGAAAATTGAGTTATTTTGTTTTTTGTATTTTGTTTTTGTTTTTAGTAAGAATTTTTTTTTTTTTAAATTTTAAACATTTTTTTTTATATTTTTAGATGAACCTTACTTAGATATATCTAAAAAGTAAAATATTTGTAAAAAAATATTTAAAAAAACTAATAAATATACAATAATACAAAAAATATACTGAATTTTTTTTTCAATATTTGTAAAAAAATATTTTAAAAAACTAATAAATATACAATAATACAAAAAATATACTGAATTTTTTTTCTTCATATTTTTGGTATTTAGTGAATTTTTTAAAGATTTTTTTTTTTACAAATATTATACTTTTTAAATGTATTTACATTAGGTGTATCTATAAATTAAAAAAAAAGTTGTTTAAAATAATAAAAAAATTCAATAAAAAAAATATGAAAAGTAAAAAAAATTAATTTTGTGAAAAGGGAATCTTGAAAATCATAACCAAACAGAGTGAATGCGTTTCAATCGAATGTTTTCATTTCTACAAAAATGTAAATAAAAGAAGTTCCATACACAAACAATTGAACTTTAAAAAACAAAAATACATAAAATAATAAATCTTATATTTTTTTTAAAAGTATTTTTCTTGAATTAGACAAGTAAAGAAATTTTCACGAGAACTTGCATAGAGAGAGAGAGAGAGAGAGAGAGAGAGAGAGAGAGAGAGATTGCTTATAGTTGACTTGAACCATGGGTAAGGAGCTTCTCAATTTATGTAGCTAGGAAAATCCCAGAACATTGATTGACTACTTGTTTTTGCCCAAATATATAGCACTGGCTTACAACCGGGCTATCGTGCTAGTCACGCTTTCAAATTTGGAATAGGCCCAAACATTGATTGCATTCTCCTATATCGTGTGTAAATAGATGATATGCCATAATTTTAAAAATTTATAATTTATATAATAGGTGGCATTATAATTTTAAAATGATAATATTAGTTATATTGTTAACCTAATTAATATATTAATGAGTGCATGTAGGACTACTGTGATAACCCTGATCCGTAATTACGTATTATGCT